TTTTCCGAAGGCTCGGAACACGAATAATTCTTGGTGTGCCGGAGGCAAATCTGGACTAGCCAAGTGGCCATCATCTTCGTTTCTTCGCTAGCCTTGTGCCACTAGCGCAAGCTGCCCACAAATGTTTTTGACGTTTCCAATATAAATTTACCGCACAAATTTCAACTACGATTTTTCTTCCCAATTTACTGCTGATACTGCGTACGCACGAAGGTGTTCTAAAGTTCCAAGGCCGCGGTACCATTGCATTACAAGGGATAGCGGCCTGGAAACTTCTGAAGATCTTTGTACGTGGTCTTGACGTCTATCTTTGTAAGTCAGAGTTTTATGGGTCAGAGATGTATCACTGGTTTTGTATTGTGCATCGATTAGCTAATCATTCAAAGGGGTTTGTTGGTACACTTATGACGTGCACATATCTTTTTCGTAATTTGACAGCGAAGCATCCACTTACTAACATTTTCAGACCGCGCTGATGCCATGCCGTCCGGCGGTCCAAGCCACGGCAGCTACTGCTGTGTATCGTGGTGCTTCAACAATGGCAGAACCTACAAGAAGCCTGGGACGAGTTTCTTCCGCATACCACGGGACGGCAGGTGTGTTAAAGCTTTTGTATGGCTTGCATGTTTTTAGGCTTACTGTTCGTACTTACTCAGTGAGGGTAACAATAAAAAATCACTATTCAAGCACTTCCCCTTTCAGCTGGTAGTTCATTGCCAATGCAGGATGAAAGCATGAATGCAGTATGCTGGACGCGATGATCTCCTTAGTAAGCCGGCCAGCCTATTGTACGCAACGTACAGGGTTTGTAGCGACCATTTTACTGCTCAAAGTTTCATGGACCCTGGGCACACAAGGCTTACAAGAATGTCTGTTCCCAGTGTGCAACCAGCTGCACCATGTAAGTGATTGACTGAAACTCAAATATGTGTAATAGCAGCCACTTGTAATGAATCAGTGGCGACAGTTAACCGCGAAGATCTTTATAGCCGGTGGAGAAACCTCACTATAGAAGTAACACTTGGAAAGTCTTAAATTTTGTGAACTATGGGCTATTACCTTCCTAACAGCAGCCTTACATTTCTGTCGTTTTTTGATGCTCTTGACCAGCGCAACTTGTTTTGAAAGACTTTAAAGGGCTATTTCACGTTATCTTCAAGCCTGAGTGCACAAGTACGTATACCTTTCATCGGTGAAAGCTGGCACTGTTGATAATTCCAAAAATCACAAATTACTTGTTTCCTAGTTGGTGCCTTCTCTTTTCCTCCATGTTCGACCAATTTGCGCATTTGAAAGAGCTGTTTAAGTTTCCCCATGCTACAAGCTTTGTAACTTGTACCAACTGCACATATATGCACGTTCTCCGAGCGTCGCTTCAAATAGTGGCTGTAACATGACTGCAGAAGCTGCACTGCAAGGTGCGGATGAGCTTCAGTTTGTGTTATTTTAAGCCTCTTACTGACACATTGTCGTAATTTCATTTCTTCAGGACCTGCGGTAGAGGCTTCAAAAAGCGGCTCCCACACATTGAGGTGCCCCGATGAACAGGGTGCGTTCAGTGTCGCGATTTCTTTTTTTTTACCCAAATTGACTGTTGACCAAACCTCTGCAGGTGGCAGCTCCCTTGTAGCTGGTGAAAGAATTTCTGCTGACTTCGTCTTGCCGGAGAAAACCTTAACCAGTCGTTAAGCTGTCACAAAAGGAACTTGTGTGACCGGTAAGTTGTATGTTCACTTCAACACCAGAGTGGATTGATATAGAGACTTCCGCAGGCCGCTCGCAAGATTGTTCAGACAGCACTGTCCGAGGCACTGAACAAGCTTCACAAGACCTTCCAGAAGACGTCTCCGCCAACAGCTCCACGCCTGAGTGCCCTAGAGAAAATGGTGACTATGCTTTTATTGCAGCTGTTTTTAATGTGCTATTTTATGTTTAGGACATTCTGAGGAAACTATCCTCAAAAGGACACTACGTGTGCACTTACAAAATGTAAGGGTGGGCTCTCAGTGATTTTCATTTTTTTGTGCATTGTCAACATTGTGAATGGTTTGTTTTTAGGTAGTGGAATCGAAAACTTTGCACCACAGAAAGTTGTGCACCTTGGGTCTGAAAGAGCGAGGAAAGTGCTCGTATGGGATTAGTTGTTCTTTGCTTTTACATCCATTTTTTTGTTTATTGCAGTGCGTTCCTGTGTGCCAGCGACAATGTCTCCATCAATGAAGTACAAGCAAACCATTAAACATCTGCAAGCCAAAGTAGCAGCACAGCTGAAAACTATCAAAAGACTGCGGAGACAGCCTCACCAAACTAACCACTCATTCGTTGCATACATTGTTTTGGTTACCCGCTATGAGGAGTAGGGACACTGTGTATTCGCTCGAAGTGATTTGCATAACCTTAAAAAGAATGTTGGGTATCCTGTCTGTATTTTTGTAGCAAATGCGGGCGAACTGTACACTTTACTGTGGGTCGCTTGGTCACTGTGTATGCTTTATCTCTCCAGCTCAAGTAATATATCGATAACAAAACCGCTTGTTGAAATGTCTTCGAGCGGGTAAGGAACACAGTATGAAGTGGGCACAGTTCACGTTATCACGCTTTTTGTATTTTAGCTTCTCATCAACCTCCTCATCTCGCCCATCAAAATTTTCAAAAGAATACCCAAACTTGTAGCGTTTGATGGGGCTGCGGACGCTGCCATTTTATTTTTATATAGCTTGTGAGTGATAACGTACGATGTAGAGCCTTTGTGAAAAATAATGAGCCAAAGTGGTTTCCTTCTGCTATTTATTAGCCGTGTAATACCGCTCTCGTAACACCAATTAAGGTCCACAATTCTGGATAAGTGATGACTACAATCTATTTTAGCTCGCAAGCGTCACAGCAACACCCAGACGCAAATCACTTGGGATCTTAAGTTTTTGATGATAAGAAGAGCCACAAGACCTGCCAGTGTTGTAGCATAAAGTTTGTCTTTCACGTAGTGAGCAAGCTGCGAAGCCCCACCTTTCTGAGGACAAGCAGGCATCAAGTCTGCTTTTTTTTCATTTTGGGCTAGCTGTTCTTAAGCACAGCCAGCACACTGCAGCTTTGCCTTTCTGCTATATTGTGTCGTGTGGTTTCTGTGCACTCTTTTTTTCTATGCATTATTTTGGTTAACCCCAGGCGTGATTCGCGACTTCATTGCTGTGTATATGTCACTTCTTCCTTCTTCTTCAGCATTGTGCGCTGTGTTTTTGCCATAGATCCTTACTTTCCCACGGGCCCGGTGTGTCATACTTCACCAGCTTCTCGGCTTCTGCCAACTCTAGCGATGTGTGCGTTGTCTGTGTTCTCTCTGTATTTGTTACAATATTTGTTACAATTTATTTGTAAGGCGAGATGCATTTGTTGTCTACCTTTGTCATATTGTGCTTTTTATATTCTCAGACTCTACCTTGCCTTTGAATAAAACATTGCGGATACTCTGTCTCTTTGACTGATATATACATTGATCACTTGTTCCAAAAGAACAAGTGATCAACAAGTGAACAAAAGAACAAGAACAAGCGCGATGAATAAAATTGTAGTGAATTATCACTACCTGCATCTCTCTTTATTATAGCTTAATCGAAATAAAAAAAAATAATGAAAATTCAAAATTTGCGCCAGTGAAACCGAAACAGGAAGCGCACGCCACTTGCTCTCACCAACCACCAGGTGTGCTAGGGTCGATTGGGCCGCTGGGGTCTACGGAAGTGTCCACTCTTCACCTTTTTTTATTTCTCTATGCCACTACCACAGAACACCTATACACTCCACTACTGTGCAGTCTGGAACAACATAATGCCCAAGCACCCATGTGAAGCTGTCAACGGCGCATTACGTTTTTTTCAGCGCCCTTCGGTGTTGACTGGCGCCTTGCGTTCTTCTCGTGCACTGTGAGGGCAAGGTTCCATTTGGCGTTGCGTAAGTGGTTGCCAGACTGGAAGGGCGGTTGTTGCCAGACTACTGCTAAATTTAGTAGAAAATTTTCTTTCTGTAGTTGTGGCTTCTCCGTAAGAGTAAGGTGCTATCCGCGGTGAATTTCGCGAGTGCATGAGCGACGCTGGCCCTTTTAATTAACGGAATGGACCGAGCCTAGCAGAAGTCGAGCGCGGCGCTGCTGCGCAATTAAGAGGCCGTTTTAATTCCGTTTTAATTAACGGAATGAACCGCGCATTACAGAATTCGTTTTCTTTACGGAATGTACCGCGCCTAGCAGAAGTCGAGCGCGGCGCTGCCGTGCAATTAAGAGTAATTAAGAGGCCGTTTCAATTCCGTTTTAATTAACGGAAGGAACCGCGCCTAGCAAAAGTCGAGCGCGGTGCTGCCGTGCAATTAAGAGGCTGTTTCAATTCCGTTTTAATTAACGGAAGGAACCGAGCCTAGCAGAAGTCGAGCGCGGCGCTGCTGCGCAATTAAGAGGCCGTTTTAATTAACGGAATGAACCTCCCATTACAGAAGTCGAGGTGCGTTCTCTTGCTGTGTGCGCAGCTGTGCGATTAAGATATCGCGTCTCAGTATTAGGGATTACGAGGAAAACTGATTAGAGTCGCAGGAGGGGATGCGCTGCCCCCCTTCCCCCTTACTTTTCTTTTTTTTATCTCTCTCAGCTGATCGTGTCGCGTCGACCGCGCGCTACGACGGGGGACGCTACGCTTCCCCTAGCTGTGTCAGCACAAGACACATCGTTCGGACTCGTATATACATGTGATGAATAAGCGTTCCAAGGCTGGTTAATACGTCGGATATGGTTAATATCCGTCGGCTGGTTAATACGTCGGAGTACGTCGGATATGCTACAGCTATGTACGCCTGGAAGCCAAGAAGTGCGCCGCGGATAGCACCAAACTCTTACAAAGAAGCCACAACTACAGGAGAAAACTTTTCTGCCAAATTTAACGGCAGTCTGGCAACAACCACCCCAAAGTCTGGCAACAAACTTATGCAACGCCAAATAGAACCTTGCCCACTGTGAGCAACAATTGGCTGATCTTTGCTTACTGTTGACGCTCGCTACACCGCACGCTCAAAGGGCCCGCTCGCACGGTTTTGCTTCGTCGCCTGTGCGCTGCTAACCCTCAAAACCTAACATGTCCGAGGCACAGCCGCAGCGGAAGCGCAAGCGCCAGTCAAAACAAATGCGCCAGCAGAAGCAGCCGAACAGTGTGCAGCTGCAGAACGACCTCGTGGCGTACCAGGCCTGGCTAGCCGAGCAGCTACAGTACACCGCCTACCTACAGCACAACGGACCAGTGGCGCAGTATTTGCGCCAACCCCCCCAAGTCGCCGGGGCGCGCAGGGAGGCGCCCAAGAAAAAGACTGTGCCGCCGCCGCCACAGAACACGCCGCCGCCGGCAAAAACTCAGCGAACCGTGGCTACCTGGACTTGCTTCGAGCCGGACGGACCTCCGCGTTGCTACTTCAGTGACAGGCGCTGGAAAAGCCAGGTGCGCAGCAGCGCCAAGTATGCCGAGCACCAGTGTCCTCGAATCTTTCGCGGCCGCACCGTGACGGCTAGTGCGCCCGCCATACCGCCGCCGCCGGACTCTCGCTCCTGTGAGGACTGCGGCGGCACGGTGGTCGACGAGCTGTCGCACCGGCGCTCGAGGCTGCACCGCGAGGCGGTCGAGATGGACGTCTCGCTCATCTGCGCCAGGATCCGTCGCGACCCGGCGTTCGCGGCGGCCGTCATCGCCGCCGCTCGCCAGTGCGTTGAGAGAACGGGCGTCGAGGAGTCCTCACACTCGAGCAGCGACAACGACGACGAGGTGCCCTCCAAACGACCGAACGCCGAAGACGATTTTGAGTTCCTCGAAGGCGACGTCTTCAAACCAGCCTCAAAAAACTGACGTTGGACCTGTAAGGAACTTTGTCGAGCTTGGTAGCTCGTGTGAGGTATGAAAGACGAGCAGGTTTTGGTGTGGATTGTTCATTCGGTTCGTTCAATTCTTAAAGAACACGTCTCGTACGTGGCACAGCAGCTGCTTATATACGGATGAGCAACCAGGCGCTTGCAAACTAGAGCCTTGGAAGAGTGTCACCGTCAATTGTTGTAATTTGAGTAAGTATGCAAGAGTCTTTCCTCAATGCCCTTTCATATATTCCTTTGGTATGACCATAATATTGAAAGCAAGAGCGTGCAACAGAGTGTGCCCTCACTGGGAGTGGTCATGTGCATGATGAGTGGCATAGTTAAAGTATTGCCTGTTTGCCATAACCTATGCCTTGCCACTTTGTGGCCCTCGAACCCTGTGTTCTTGTTGGCATGCTTTCACTGGCCAATGGGGCTGAATGCGATCCTAGTTGAGGGCAGAGTTGTTCAATAGCTCTGGGCTGCGTGGCCTGAACAGTGGTGTCGCTGTATGCACTAGTGTGGCTGGCAAAATAGCGAGAACAGTGGAGTAGCCCCCCAGTGCACTGCTAAAGTAGCAAAACTTGTGTAACTTTGCTGCCACTCATTCAGCACATGACCTTGTTTGATTCGTGTTTTGCACTGATGTCAAAGCCAGAAATTCTGGAACACTAGTCAACCATCACTGTGGCTGCCCTTGATTATGAATGCATGTTAGCAACTGCTTTAGTGCGCTGTGCTTGGTTTGCAGCTTAACGACAGACACTGATACACAGCTCATCCACCTGCCACTGGTAGCACTCTGTGCAATCACACGAAGGCACAAAGAGTGAATTAGTACAGGAGCCCATCTTGTAATACTAAAGGAGCCTACAACTGGTCCGAACTTGTGATTACATCTTAGTAAAAATGGAATTATTGATTGGGAAATACAGTGACAGATTCCAGCAAGCTTTTCATGTAGTGAGTAGGACCTTTAAGTCTTGTGTCGCCCCGCCGCGGTGGTCTAGTGGCTAAGGTACTCGGCTGCTGACCCGCAGGTCGCGGGTTCGATTCCCGGCTGCGGCGGCTGCATTTCCGATGGAGGCGGAAATGTTGTAGGCCCGTGTGCTCAAATTTGGGTGCACGTTAAAGAACCCCAGGTGGTCGAAATTTTCGGAGCCCTCCACTACGGCGTCTCTCATAATTATATCGCGGTTTTGGGACGTTAGACCCCACAAATCAAGTCTTGTGTTGTTGTAACAAAAACCAGTATGTCACGCAACCTGGCAGAAAAGCCTTGAATATGAAGTCAATACTGGGTCGACCACTTTGCTATATCATAGTCTGATGCTATCAAGCACATGATAATTAGTCCTGAAAACGTATAATATTATTTATCCTCACTTACTTTTATGCTCCCTTCAAGGCAAAAGGAGCAGTGCTGCCTTTGCTGTAGCCAGTGGAACATGCCAGGTTGCAGCCGCACTCAAACTTCTCTCACACTGGGTGTTTGCATCATGGGTTGTCACTTGTGTTTATTACTTCATATTTGCTGCGGAAATTTTTATTACAAATGCTTCACGGTGTGTTTCACGATACCATTCTTTGATCACCCACCGATAAGCTGTTCGTTGTGCTGAAGAAAATGGGCCCCATAAAAATTGTTTGTCACTCCCTCTAAAAAAAGCATATTACGTGGGGCTCTCTTGCAGCATACATGACGCTGCATGCAGAACTAAAAACAGCTAAATGCATGTTGCACCACACGTGATCAGGAAACGCATTTTACACAAATATCAAATAAAAATGTCTGCGTCGGCACTCCAGCGAGCACATCTGGGCCGCTCGAGAAAATAAAGCTCTTTTCCAGCTAACATTACAAATGGGTCATGGGATAAACGAAATGTTGCAAGTTTTGCACTCATTTTGAAAACCATTATTTTTTATTGAAGTTGAGGGAATTGACGAAAGAATGGCCTGAATCGCATTTGTAGGCTGGCAGTGTAAGCTGTAGTAGAAGACTAATATTATGCATTCTAGTTTTGTTTTCTCGCGGTTGACAACCTATGCAGTTTTCGCAGTTGGAGACTGGTATTCACCTACCTAACAAGCTGCTGTGCAGCTTCAACAACTGGCATGTAATAATAGTTAGATTTGCACAAGCCAAAAAAAGAAAGCTGCTGATCTTTCGTGAAACCTGTTTGTATTTTCTCTAGCACAGAGCACGCAGTGTGCAGCACTTTTTCATGCTGGCAAATTGCGCACATGTAATCATTTCTATGGCATCACATTTTTTTTTTATTTGTATCTTCACTACGAAATTAAAGTTGTATGCTTGGAAAGCAGCTAGCTTCCTTTCAATGTGCATGTATAACGATGTTACCATGCAAAAAAAAAACATTTTTGCATTCCCTCTCTCAAAATCGTCGACAACCAGCTGGTTTGTTTTATTCTAAAAATATCGTTTTCATACTTCCAGTCTGTCTGCCATTCTTTGAAGGGGTACTGACAGCATGAAATACAAGTGCAATAGTAGAAATTTCAGTGAGCATAATCATTTGCTTGCCACAGCATTTAATAGAAGCGCTAAGTGTGGCATCCAAGATTTCTAATGCTCGCAAAGATGTGAGCTGTATTTATCTTTTTTGTTGAATGTTGTGCCGTAGTACTGCAAATAATTGCACTCCCTGTAAACTTTCTTCCATTTTGCTTCACATCTCAAGTTAATTTTTGTAGCAATACATACCAACTCTGAAAAGTTACTTAAAAATAAAAAGTGAGCATTTATAGCTGCAGTTGGAACACAGGCCTTTCATCTCTGCACCACTTCAGTGGAGCGGTGCCCAATTCCTAAAAGGACGCTCCGATTGCAGCGTTCCAAAGGGCTTGACCCTGTTTGGGTTTTTCGAAGCTCGTTCAGGCACTCTCCTGTTCGAGTACACTCAAGTTAGTCTGTGGTCTTTCATACCCTGTAGGACGGTGTCATCAAGTGTGCAGGGCATCTTGTCCGCTGGCTAAGTAGGAACTGCATCTGTTACTGCCTGCATCTGTTAAAACAAGCTTTGACACGCTATGCACACAATTGTGTACACCACTCGTATTTGCTCCAGCGAAGAAAGAGCAGGATACTTTGATCCTCGGATGAATGGAATCTTCTGCATAATGCATTTGTTTTCACTTAACTTGATTGCGCAGCGTACTGTCCCACAGAATAATACTTGTACGAGTTTAACGTCCGAAAGCCATGATATGATTATGAGAGACACCGCCCTGGAGGGCTCCCGAAATTTTAATCACCTGTGGACGTGCACCTACATTCAAGCATTCATGCCTCCATTGAAAATGCACCCAGGATTCTATCCCACAACCTGCGGGTCAGTGGCCAAGTGCCTTAAACACTAGATCACCATGGCGGGTGCTGTTGGGCGATTCCACGCAAGATCGAACAAAGCATGGCTAATCGAGCTCTTCAATTTCTTTCAAAGTGTTATATATTATTGCCTGATGGTTGGAAAGAAGATACCTGCAATTGCTTTTCTTCGAAAAAATTTTTTGAACCACAGTAAATCAATAATGACAAAAAAGTGTAGTGCCATGCTTACCGGCTCTACTGTGTTTTTTTACTTTGGCGATGAATTACATAAAATGTATCAAAGTTATGTACCTTCAATTGGCTTTGCTAAATATAGGTGTACTTGCACTTACATTCAATTATATTTCGATCCTCTGTGTAGTGATGATTTTTTATAAAAATGTTCAAATTAGACCTGAAGATGTTTTTTTGCCTTGTTTCAGGGCTTTATTTAACTAAGGACCTATGACACAGCGGTGAAAATTCCGAATTACTTTCTCAGCAGGCTTATTTATAACGCTGCCAAAGCTCATAATAAAAACTCGTTTCAATAAACATACACTAACTTCAAGAAAAGAGCATGCAAGGGAATGTTCCAACGAGGATGTAAAAAAAACTATTCTTAATATTTTATAAACTTTCCCCACTTATTCTCTTGCACATCACCTTTCATAATTACTAAAAAAATGTTGGATAATATGGCTTCACTTTTAGTTACAGCTCGTAAAAAATGCCTTTGCACAACGATAGGAAGTTGTAGATCGAACTTCCTGCCTGCTATGTATGGAATGCGGGCCTATACTTCATTTTCTTAAAAGACAAAGCAGCACTGAAATAGCTGTCAGTTGCACTGAGGACGCTAACTTCGAAATGATTTGGTCATGAAAGCGGCCATGAGTGCGGGATTGGTTTTCATTTTGAGGTATCTTGTCGAAAAATTTTCATTGGAAGTCGGCTCTAGTCTTCATTGATTCCTTGCCTTTGTGCCCCTGTTCACGTGGCTCCTTGAATAACTTTCTCGATTCTCAGATCTTGACCTTCTTCACTTGGCCTTTTGGCCCTGCCTTGATGTTCACCGTCTCATTTTCAGCTGGGATGTTTCTCAGCATTTCATGCCTTCGCTGATACAAGCCATGCCATCTGCATAGTCGTCAACCCAACATCTGTAGCTTTTACAGCGAAAGCTGCTCTGAAATCGCAACAATGGCCATTTTTGGCACCATAGTTGTCTGCCACTGCTGATGCCTGTAACTGCTTGTGCGTAAAAAAAATAAAAAAAATCATTTTTTTGAATATCTGGGGTAAAATGAAATTGGAAGTTGGGCCCCCTGCGTGGCAACACAGTATTGTCATGGTTAACAATGATGTAAGAACACGGTTCACGAACGAAGAAAACACAGACGGGCGCCAACTATCAGGGCTACTTAAGCCAGTACTATTCTGCCACAGAGACGCTTGAAATTCCTATGCAAACAGACCCTATGCAGACTGCATATCAGGGAAGAACTCATGTTAACATGTGTACTATTGTTTGATACAAGAGTCAATTAACAACCAGGTGCTACAGAATGTAAGTAGCATAACGAGTGGGTCGTTTATAGCCTTCAGCCCATTATGAAAGGTTTAGTTATAATTCTTTGTAGTCATCAGCCTCTGTAGCACCAAAATTCACATAAGGTGTGTTCGATTCCCGTGTGGTGCACTAAAGCAGTGCTGCGAAAATTCAGATGATGCGGTTGGTGTGCGAATGCAGTGCAGACAGTGCAGGTCTTACTTTCTTCTTCTGTGAATTGAGGGTGTTGGTGCATCGCTTGTCATCAGCTCTGCGCCCGCATGGCCGGCACATGGTTTCCTGCTGTCTGCATTGAGCCGAAAATACATAAGCTCGCTCACCAGCTGCTGTATGAACCTCCACACTGCCGTCTGCCACTGTAATGAATGTCAGAAAATAATTAGTGTTGGACATCGCAAATTTGCATCCACGATCAATGCCATGTTCAACCGAATGCTGGTGAAACATGTCTGCTTCTGTGCTGCACCACGGTGGCACCACCAAGCAAGCACGTTTTGGAATTATCTGCACCGCGACGGCACTATGGTGCAATCGAAGACTGCGGTGTAGCACACTAGAGAATCGAGGACTGTCGTGTTGTGCACCATGAATTGCTGCAGCAGGTGCAGGTGAATCAAAGAGACCTATGATGTTCTAAAGAAGTGTAGCCTATGCGCAGAATAACAAATAATGATGTAGTGAATGCTTCTCTACTTCACAAAAAAAAAAAAAAATAATGGCGACCTTTTGAGGCGTAGGGCCAAGTTTCATTAAGTGGACACAATGAAAGGGTAAATAAAAAGGGGCAGCTGGCTTTGCAGAAATGCTGTAAAGATCCGGCGAATCGACTATAATTTACAAAGGTGGATTAGAAATGGCTAGCTGCAGCATGTATGTTGCAAAGTTGCAAATTTACGGCAAAAATGAAAATTTCTGTTTTGATTAAAACTATCGTGTCGTCCTTCAGATAGGAAGTAAAAAAAAAAATAGGGGGGGGGGGGGGGGGGGGAGGTTGACATCAGGCGAGGGATTCATACAACTGCCTCGCGGCAGGCCGCATGCAGCCGACTCGACTTACGGCGTATTGGGTGCCACATAAGTGTACCTGTAGCATGTACTTGTAGTGGTTGCTCTAAGAGTGCATCTAGAAAGAGTCGGACCGCTCTTCCAGCTTTCACTGTGTCTGTGCTGCTCGTTTCACGCAGGCCTGGCATTTTTTTTAAAGTGTGAAGCACTTTAGGAGAGTAGGCTGTCCTTGTTGTTTGGCGTAATGCAGCCAACACCACGCAAAGCATAGCCATCTGTTGATGACCTTAGATGGATGGCGCTCACCCACAAAGGGCGATGGGCCATGAACCGGGTGGCAGGATACTTTATGCAAAGTCATCTGCAGTGGCCCAAAGAAAAAACTTCTTGCTCTTTTGCTTCGAGCGCTTTGACAATGATGTAAAGTGTGGAGCACTTTTTAAAAAAATAACATGTATAATAAAAACTGAAAAGAAGGGGAAGCAAGGCAGAAATTGAAAGAGAGAAAAAAAAAACTTGAAAAGGGAAGAAGAAAGGAATCTAGAAAACCGAGGAGTCTCTGTTAGCTTTCATCGAGTCTCTGTTATCAAATTTTCACGTTTCCCTCCGGCATTTAACTCCCCAAACCCAATGCTCGGTGCCAGTTGACTTAATTTTCGATGATGATTTTCCGAAAAATGCCAAGTTACTTCCAAAGCATGTTCTGGAGGGCCTCTTTCAAGACCATATCAGTCATTTTCCTAAATACTTAGTAATTTCGACGGACGCAACGCAAAATCTTCAGAAGGCGTGAGTAGGTATTTTTTCTCATCAGCTTAATTGGTCTTTTGCGCTCCGATTGCCTGACTTCACACCAATTTATCTCTCAGAATTCCTGGCTATTACATTGGCCCTTCGAAAACTAAATTATCAGCAATCAAAAGCTATTATTATTTCGGATGCTTTGTCTGTATGTACACATCTAACGTCCGCAAAGAAGTCTCCTCTTCTCAGGATATTTTGGTCTCTCGTACCGCATAGCCTATCAGAAGTTCGGTTTATTTGGGTCCCCGGGCATGCTGGAATTGAACAAATGAAATTGCTGATTCGCTCGCTTCGGCATCTTTGAATTTCCCGGTGGTGCTAGTAGCTCCACAGTTTCCTTTTATTACTGCCGAACGATTCAAACGCCTGTTAATCTTAAAAATCAACGAAACGTCGCTTCTACAATCTGAAGAATTTCGGCACTTGCGATTCACATGGAACAGCGCAAAATGCCTTTCCCGTCAATGTGAGATGACCCTCACAAGCTTCCGCTGTAGAGTTCCTCTGTTAACTTTTTATCTCAACAAATCAGGATTTTCATTAACTAACCTATGTGTAGTTTGCATTGAACCGGAAACAATAGATCACTTTCTTCTCACATATCGCCGCTTCGCCTCACTGCGCCGAATAATTCTTGAAAGACCGATTGGTATGCTCGGATTGCCAGTCAATGCATCCATCCTATTATCGTTTGGAGCCAGTCAGTTGGCTGTGGGCCGCAGTGCTATTCTGTCAGTGCTACATAAATTCATTCAGGCAACCGGAAGGATACGCTACTAGTGGTACTGCCAGAGATATCCAATTATTTCTTCCCCTTCCTCATTCTTGTTAATTTGTTTTATATATTCTGGTTTATCGCATTCTTCTGCAATTTTTTCACGTTTTTTCAAAGGAACATTATTATTGTTCCATTCTAATTTCTCTTTATTTTTTTTTAGCGAGCATTGTAAAAAATGATCTATTAAGGTACAGTGTGGCCAGTCCCCCATGTAGGTATGAGCCAAGATCTCCTAGGAGACAAGACAAGTAATAAAGGCGGCTGCCCAGCACATCAAGCTCGGCACCCCCAGGAGCGAAGCTAACTTAATTTTTTGAAACCAGAATGTGCGAGCACTTCAAAGGGCTTGCCTTTGTGTCTTCATTTCTTTTCGCCGCATGAACTGGTCTCGATTTGCTTGCATGCACTGTGGTAAGTATTTTGCCTGCACACGTTCTTTCCACTTTTCAATCATCAAACTGTTTGGGTCAGTAGTGTCATTGGTAGTCCACGCTGATGAGATTCTAAAAGACAGGGCGTGCATACACAGGAGGAGTTGCAAACTAAAAGATGCACAGAAAAGAAAGAAGGCATGAAAACATATCGGAGCAAGCCCATGCAATATGCGAACCTGTCAATCCGGCAAGTATGGGACCTACATTAAAGGTACACTAAAGTGGGCAATTACCTGGTTTAGATTGATGAACTGTACTCTGAAAGGTCTAATGTCGCTAGGTTCACTATCATAAATTCATTATTAGTAGAGAAAATCAAGGTTGAAGTTTCATTTATATTTTACGCCGAAACCTCCTCGCATGATGTCACTAATCTCAAAATGTATTTTTCGTATTTTTGCGACACGGTCTCAATGAAGTTTACTGAAAATTTGTATGGTAGGTCTATGGCACCCACCGATGACAATGTACTTCAATTTTACTGACTAGAAACTATGCAGGACCCAGTCATAATCTGTGACGTCACAACATCTGGTGCGGGAAACTCAGTGTAGCGTCCTAACCCACATTTTCTTTTCAGGCTTTTTCTCGCTTACCAACCTTTGTCTTTTGGGACTGCAGAAGTGTACTTTGCCAGTGCAAGAAAAATGGTTTATCTTTTTGTGTTCCTTTAAAGGCTTTCTGCCATAGTGCACTTTCTTCACTTCTTAGTCGGTGTTGTGTGGGGACTTGTATGTTGTGTTCCTTTGTGATGAACCACCTAGCTCTTAGTCATTCCACACACATGCGTTCTGAAAGCATGGGCCACTGCTTTAGAAGTAGCCGTTGTTCTTTTGTGCAGATTTCTCGAATGATATAAATACTGTAGTAAAAGTGTTTATTTGTTGGCTACCAGCACGTTCAGCAATTAGTCGTCTGGCTGACTTGTCTGCCATCTGTGCTACAAGGTTCAGTATGCATTGACAAGACGGTGGTGGTACTCATGGAGAGAAGATTTTTGTTTCTGCTCTTGTGTTGATTCACTGACTTATTGATTCCAAGTAAGCCTGCTGAGCGTTTAATGTGTCTGCGATTTTATATTCCGCTCTAGCAACAATGATCTCGGGCACACAAACACCGACCTCCAGTAAGTGGATGTCTTGTACTTCCTTACCGACTGTTTCTGAGAAGTGTGTACTGCTCACTCGAAATTCGGTGGTTATTCTCTAGCTCACTTATTGGTAGGTGATCCAAATGCAAGACTGTCAACATTTTCAATGGCTTGCATGACGGCCTCACATGTCTGATTCTGTCTTTCGAATACGGCCTCCACGATCCGCTTCAGTGTTGGCAGTGTAAGAAATACTGGCTGGTATTATCATGAGGTCCATCAGACAAGTTTCACACAAGAAAGTTCTAAGCATTGTCGAGATTCCATGCCTCATGATTTGGGTCACGGGACCGGTTTGGTCTCTGAACCCATTGGCAGCATTGCAAAAGTCCTACGGGCTGCGGATGCGGTTGATAATTTGTGAAGGTTGCTGTGTCGCACCTCCGAAGGGCCTCTCTCACAGGCTCCAGCACCAAAGTGTCGAGAAAGGGATAAGCCACTGACCCCCTCGTGATCTGCCTCCCTGTTGACCTCTTATTTATTTGAATAAGCTGACTCTCTTCTCATCATGATTGTGCCACTCCTTATCTTCTGCTCGCTGACCAC